GAGTGGGTGCGTGTGAGAGTGTGTGAGTGTGTGTGTGCGTGTGTGTGAGAGAGTGAGTGTGTGCGTGTGTGTGAGAGAGAGTGTGTGAGAGTGTGTGTGAGAGAGAGAGAGAGAGAGTGTGTGTGTGGACGTGAGAGAGTGAGCGTGTGAGAGTGAGTGTGTGCGTGCGTGTGTGTGAGAGAGTGAGTGTGTGCGTGCGTGTGTGAGAGAGAGTGTGTGTGAGTGTGTGCGTGCGTGTGAGAGAGAGTGTGTGTGAGTGTGTGTGAGAGTGTGTGTGTGAGAGAGAGAGAGAGCGAGAGTGTGTGGACGTGAGAGAGTGTGTGTGCGTGAGAGTGAGTGCGTGTGTGTGAGAGCGTGAGCGTGTGTGTGAGAGTGAGCGTGAGTGTGTGCGTGCGTGTGTGTGAGAGAGTGAGTGAGTGTGTGCGTGCGTGTGAGAGAGAGTGTGTGTGAGTGTGTGTGAGCGTGTGTGTGTGAGAGAGAGAGAGAGAGAGAGAGAGAGTGTGTGGACGTGAGAGAGTGTGTGTGCGTGAGAGTGAGTGCGTGTGTGTGAGAGAGTGAGCGTGTGTGTGAGAGTGAGCGTGAGTGTGTGCGTGCGTGTGTGTGAGAGTGAGCGTGAGTGTGTGCGTGCGTGCGTGTGAGAGAGTGAGTGTGTGCGTGCGTGTGAGAGAGTGAGTGTGTGAGAGTGAGTGTGTGTGAGAGAGTGAGTGTGTGTGAGAGAGTGAGCGTGTGCGTGTGTGAGAGTGAGCGTGTGCGTGTGTGAGAGAGTGAGCGTGTGCGTGACAGAGTGAGCGTGTGCGTGTGTGAGAGTGCATGTGTGTGATAGAGTGAGTGTGTGCGTGTGTGAGAGAGTGAGCGTGTGCGTGAGAGAGTGAGTGTGCGTGAGAGAGTGAGCGTGCGCGTGTGTGAGAGTGCGCGTGTGTGAGAGTGAGCGTGCGCGAGAGTGTGTCTGTGTGTGTGTGAGAGAGTGAGTCTGTGTGTGTCAGAGAGTGTGTGTGTGTGTGTGTGAGTGTGTGTGTGTGTGA